TTTTTTGTAGTTTTTGGCCAGGGCCGGGTTTGAACCCACCACCTCCGGCATATGGGGCCACCACCCTACTCCTTGAGCCACAGGCACCACCATCTTCACAGCAACCCAGTGAGGAAGGCAAATGAGTGGCTATTGCTATTTCTGCCTGCCAGCATCCCCAGGTCCTTTTTGCCTGGGGAGAGGCTTGAGATAAGCGGCAGCAGGGCTCTGCCTCCCAATCCTGAAATCCAGAGCAGGCATCTTCCCTTCCGTGGTCTTGGCGTCTCAAGAGCTCCCACGTGACCGAGGCTCAGCCAATGAGCTGCGCCTGCTCCCGGGAGTATCCAGGAAGCGAGCGAATCAGAGCAGCTGGAGAGAGGATGCGGCTCTATCTCCAAGACAGTCTGCATCCCTAACTGTGCACTTGGTGAAATCAGCTATGCTTCAGGCAGTGTTGGGGAACCTGTGGCCTCCCAATCCCCAGTGCAGTCCCTTGACCCAATCCAAACTTCACAGGTATCTTTATTAAAGAGTTATAGTCTGTAAAACTTAAATTTAGTCAAAAAGCTGCACTCAAAGATGCAGAAGGCCACATGTAGTCCTAAAGCTGCAGAGGGCCAATGATGAAACTTGAGTGTCCTTGACTGAGTGCCCATTTTTCTCAAGGTTTTTCAGCCTTTCCCATCAACTACCTGGCTCTTATCTTTTCAACACATCCTTATCATGTCCATTTATGTAAAATATGTTTTGGTTACTTGCAACCTGGAACAGGGTGATTAGCAATTTTTGTTCCTCTCCATTTATAGATGAAGAAACTGAGCTTTATTGATGAAATCAGTTGTGTGTGGATTGTAGTTACGTAGAAAAGCCAAGTCTAAATCCCATGGCTTCTAGTTAAGGGTTGTTTCTTTTCTCAGCTCATTGTTTTCCCAGTGACCTCTGTAGATAGTGAGGTGGGCTTCCTTCCTCCTCTGTGTCTCCTGAGTGTGGTGCATATGGTGCATAATCCTATTTCCCATCCTAGCTTCCCTGCTTGGTGTCAAATTCTGTTTGCCACACTGGACTGTTGAGCACCTTGGAAGACAAGGATCATACTCATCATTTTTTCTCAAACATATGCTGGAGTTTCATTGATAAATAACATAGGTGGTACCTTTCAAAATGAATCTTACACGTTTAGCAACAACTTCAAACCCATATTGGTGTTTTCACTTAAGTAATTTATACACTCATTTGCTAACTCAGTACTAATAAAGATATTAATAAACATTGGATGTTCATACAAATGTGAATCCTACTGTGTATTGCACACGGGAGGGATCTGGGTTGTGTGCTTCTGATGAGAATTAATGCCTGATGATCCAAGGTGGAGATGTAATGCACCTGAATTATCCCCATAGCCTCCTCCTAAACCCAGTCTGTAGAAAAGAACTGTCTTCCATGAAACCAGTTCCTGGTGCCAAAAGTGTGGGGACTGGTGCAATAGAGGCAACAAATAAAGAAATGTATAAGAGGATGTAACACATATGTTTGTATGCATATATAAAATAGAATAAAAATGTGTTTGGGCTCGGCGCCTATAGCTCAACCGGCTAAGGCACCAGCCATGTACACCTAAGGTGGCGGGTTCAAATCCCCAGCCCGGACCCGCCAAAACAACATTGACAGCTGCAACCAAAAAATAGCCGGGTGTTGTGGCAGGCACCTGTGGTCCCAGCTACCTGGGAGGCGGAGGCAGGAGACTCGCTTGAGCCCAGGAGTTGGAGGTTGCTGTGAGCTGTAATGCCACGGCACTGCCCAGGGGGACAGCTTGAGGCTCTGTCTCAAAAAAAAAAAAAAAGAAAAAAAAATGTGTTTGTATAATTTTCATTCTTTATAAATTATGCACACATTAGGAGAAAGATTTAACTTTAGAATGTTTTTGTGTCATTTGTAGACAATTACTACGGTACCCCAAAGCCTCCAGCAGAACCAGCACCATTATTGTTAAATGTAACAGACCAGATACTTCCGGGAGCCACTCCAAGTGCTGAAGGAAAACGGAAGAGGAATAAATCAGTGAGCAACATGGAGAAAGCAAGTATAGAGCCTCCCGAGGAGGAAGAGGAAGAGAGGCCTGTGGTCAACGGAAATGGAGTGGTAGTAACACCAGGTTAGCCATTCACATTTTTTACAAGTTCATCATCAGTTTGCTGTTTTAGATATTAAGTGTGTGTATGTGTATAGAGAGAGAGGTTGCAAAAAAATGTAAACCAATTTTAAGAAAGAAAAAGACTATTAAAATTGTAATACTCACTATATACTCGTAACAAAAGATGAATACAAGTTATGTTGAGCACCTCTTATAATTGCTTGGGTATTATGATTTTAATACAGTTTTTTTTCCTTTCTTAAAATGTGTATACATTTTTTGGCACCTTCTGTATATCAGATAGATACAGATATATCCAATATATCTGTATGATTACAATTATCTTCAGAGAAGGTTATAATATCAGATGGAAAGGACATGATTCTTGTATACAATTTATCCTAATTTCAACATATTCTTTCAACTTGCTTGACTTTTGGTTTCATTTATACAATATTAAGGGTGATGGCAATATACTGAATAGTTTAAACCTCCAGAAAGTGTTACAAGTCATAAATACGATTGTGTAAAGTTTTGAGGTCTTTGTTTACGTTAGAGGGAATAACTCTAACATTGTAGAAATCTTGCCAGGTTTGCAGTTCTGTAAACAGAGGTTGGGTCACGTGATTTAGTATTCAGCCTCACTGAATACAGTCCTCAACATGGCTGCAGGTACAGACTGCCCGTGTGTTTGTTTCCCCTTCTGTACCATCCAATCTGGCAACATGCAGAAAGCATCTTTATACATTGACTTGGTGAAGGCCCTTATCATTGAACAAGGAAAAGAATAGCTATGCTTGATTTATGATCTGTCGTATCACATATATAAAGGATATTATACGCAAATGAGGTATGTGTTTGTACAAGGGCTGTATTTGCTTTTTGTTATGCATATTACTAACAGAGCATCAAAAATAGATTTTTTATACTGTTATTCATAATTAAATGCTACCAAAGCAACGGCAACAATAACAACATTATGGTGTTGTGTTAGTTTCATGGAGCCAGACTCCAAAACTTTATTTTCCATATTTGTTTTTAATAGAATCATATCAGTTGACATTGCAAATCTAAGGACTGTGGTTAAGCTCTTGGGAAAAAAAAGTAAGCATTGCACTTTGCATGCATATTCTTTTCTAGATGTTTCCCATTGCTACTTTGATGTGTGCATTTTTATTTTTCACTTTACTGCTTCTGTACTGACATGGTGTTTGAATTTTCATGCTCAATTATTTTTATCAAAGAAAAGCTTCATAAGGTTACTTTTTATCTTTATTCAAAATACATGTAAAAGTGTTCTTCTTCATTGAACATAAGGTAAACACAAGGAGACCAAAATCTAATCAGTACCAGTTGAGGTATAAAACCTGATGAGGTGGTTTCATCTTGATTACTCAAAGGAGGTAAACCTTCTCCATTGATACCAATGGGTAAAAATATTTTCTGACACTAGCAATCATTGATTTTTAGATTCAAATGCTAAAATCACTAGAAGTAAGTAATGTTACTTGTCTACTATGAAATGATCTGGCAATTTTCAAGCAATTAGATATCATCCTCTTTTTTGATTCTGAAGTATCTGTATCAAAATATTTGCTTTTCATTATGTAACTAAACTTAAATTGAATTGATAGCACATGGTTTTCTTGTTGATCTTTGATAGGAAATGCAAAACAATGAGCTGAATTAAATCAGTAACCACAAAAGCAGCAGAAATTCCAGGTCAGAGAACAGTTGCTGAATTTTAGCTTGTGGTTAAAATGCATAAAATATAAGTCCCTGGCTGAGCAAAGATCATCGATTTCTGTTTTGTTTCAAATTGTGTGGGGTAAATAAAGTGAAGCTGTCTCAGTCTACAGATTCCTAAGAAATTTATTTAACTGGAGGGCATACTGAATCCAGAAACCACCAATCTCTTCTATTCATACCTTAGTCATGAACTAGGGAACATCTATGGCTAGGAGGTCTTCATGGGCACTGAAGAAGACTGAGTTGAATTTTTCTTGACCAACTACAGCCAAATGACTGCTTCTGTACCCCTCCACCTAAATATAGTAAAAAACAACTATCCAGGGCAGTGCCTGTGGCTCAAAGGAATAGGGTGCTGGCCCCATATGCCAGAGGTTGTGGGTTCAAATCCAGCCCTGGCCAAAAATTGCAAAAAGAAAAAAAAACTATCCAAGCCAACTCTAAGTTTTCTGGGAGGGCAACAGATGCTACCCACAGTGGCTCTGTAAGTCTGGCTGGGCAAGAGACCCTTACACAGTTTTTCTCTTTCTTGTTGAGGAATAAGAGACATATATATCAGGCAGCTCTTCACTCAGTGTTCAAAAGTGGGTTAATATATTGTGTTCTGTATGGGTGTAAAAGCATCAAACCTACCAGTATTTAGCGCCTTATATACTTTACCAAAATAATTTATGCACTCTGTATAAATAAAAGTCTTAGAGGATTCCTCAATTTACATCTGTTACCTATCTTTTCATCTTTTCTTTATCAAACTAAAGCTTATGCTTAAAACTTCATTTTTCTTTTTCAGACCGTATCTATATAAAATCAGTGACTACTTTTAACTATAATAAGTATGTTCTCCATGAAGTTCTGCTAACATTACCAATGAGAAGAGTCCTGAACTAGAAAACTGACTCCTTAGTACACGTCTTTTGACAACCCTGCTCTTTGAAGTGTCTTTTTTATTCCAAATGTTTATCCAGTAGCAACTTCGGGAATTCTTTTGACTTCTCTTGTGTGTGTTTCCCAGCTCTTCACCTTTTGAACCTCATCACATTGTTTTTTTCTGGCACAGAGTCTTTGTCTTGCCTTTGTCTCTTTCCCAGACACATTCACCAGATACAGGAGATTTTCAAAGAATATTGAGAAATAGTGCTTACACTTGGTTTAGATTGCTGTATATTGGCTAATAGCCTATAAAAATAATTAACATCAGTCATCAATTCAGAACACAAATTCAATGAAGCACATTTGGAGAGTGAAAAGGCTGAGAAAGAAGGAGGGAGGGCATCAGTGGTCAAGGGATAGGGTTCACCTTTTGGGGGCAGGACACAAATATAAGAGGGTCCTTATCTAACAAGAGCAATCAATGTAACCTGCTTTTGTGTATCCTCAATGAACCTCCAGGAATTAAAAAAAAAAAAAAAAAAAAAAGCTTATTGAGGTAGCCTTATTCCATTGCAAAATAATACTGATGCTAATAGTAATAAATAATAAAATAATTAACTTTTTGAGGGCTTACTATCCATTAGGAACTGCCTGCCTTCATCATAGTTATATAGTTCATTTAACTATCCTAACTAGCCTATTAACTAGGTACTATTTTGTAAATTAGGACCCTGAAATAGACCTAAGTTAAATAATTTTCTCAGTAACCGAGAATCATATATAGGAAGTCTGAGTCCAGAACCTGTTCCTAGCCGCTAATATGAATATGTTTCCTAGTGATATGTAAACAGGAGACCTCTATTTTACCTGTGCATCTTTAAAAGTGGCATTATAAATGTCTACTTACTGAAAGGTTCTAGCTTTTATTTCTGGAAATCATGTGCAAGTAAGCTCATTTTCCTCTGTAGACATAAAAATGTCCAATTTTTTTAAAATTCTGAATATAGACAAGTATCACACATATCTATCTTTGCCAAAATAAACTACTATGTACTTTACCAAGAGAAACTATTTACTCTATGTAAATAAAGTTTTTAGAGAATTCCTTAATTCATGTCTTACCTATTTTTATCTTTTCTCTTTTGAATAATACTTAAAACTGCATTTTTCTTTTTGTTTTCAGACCCTATTTACATAAAATCATTGATTGTCTTTAAATATATGCATTTTCCATGAAGTTCTGCTAACATTATCAGTGAAAATTCACATGACCTGAATTTTATTTTATGTAGAAGTCTCTCTTTTCTGCTTAAAATTACATTAGACATACGGAGTTAGCTCGTAGTACCTAGAAAAACCATACAATGAATTTTTAGCGTCTCAAACCGGTGTGAATGTTTCTGTTTCTGCCATACCTCAATTTGGTTGGAAGTCAATAAAATTCTATCCTCAGAAATATATTATTCTTGTCAATAAGCGGATTACAAAAATAAAAAATTGAAAAAATAATTAAAATAGAATAATAAAAATAGAATAAATAATTAACTCTCCTTTAATGAATGCATACCATGGGCCAGGTATGCAATACTTATACTGCATTTTCTCTAACCCCATAATAATCATATACTTACTTCATGAATGAGGTGCTGAAACTTAGCTTAAGATGCTTAGCTAAAGTAAAAATTCATATGGTGGCAGAGTGGAGATTCAGACCCAGTGATCTCTGAATTCATTCTCTCTTCAACACATTTCCCTGAGCTGTTAACCATGCTGGGGACAAATCGCAGTCCCACTACTCTGTATTCCATTATATTTGTCCTTCACTGTTTGTAGCAGTGGTGTCAGACCTCGTACTAGCAAGGGTAATTTATCCTTAGATCATCTTATAGATTGTCTCTTTGAACTGATGCTTAAAATTCATATCCCCAGGAAGCCTTCCCTGACATTACCTCACCTATATTTAGACATCTTTTATCTTTCTGTTTATCTTGTTAAAATTGACATCCAGCCCCTGGCTTCAAAGGCTGTAAATGTACCTGCAGCCTTCACTGCTTTTCTGTGTTTCAGGCCCCTATTTCTAACTATTGCCCACTGGACAGCTCCACCTAAGCATTGCTTTTGCGATTTCGATGTACACCTTACACTTAAGCTCTTCTCCCGCAAAACAAAGGAGCAAACCAACTCACAAAGCCCTTTACCTGATTTCTCTAATTCTTCTTTTCACTCAAATACCTCAGAATTACCTATCATATTCCTCTTCCCCAGGCTTGGCATTTATAATTAGGCACAAACGATCAGTGGGTCTTTCCTTTAAGATATCACTGTCCTATCCTACAGTATCACCTTATTTGTGGAGCACAGTTCCCTAATGATCTGCATGTCTCCCAGCAATTTAGTTTTTA